ACTGATTGAGGTATTACTGCAAACTGCTACTCCTAGGGTTTGATCAAATACTCTTAGCGGAGACTTCAATACCCCTTCTTTAAATCTCAGCAGTCAGAGTATAACTCCCACTGGTTGGTTCCAAAGACAACTTGGTACAGCCATTAGAAGCTCTGTGCTGACTGAGCACGTACGCAGCGCCACTAGGTGGACTAAGGAAGGGAAGTCCTCAAACATATATTATCTGTTAACGAACGACCAGCTCCTGGTTGAGGATGTTCACATCCGGGCTCCTATAGGTAGTAGTGACGATGGCACAGTCCTGTTTAACATGGTCACAAACGAAACGCTGACACCGGACGATAACGAGCCTTACCTTCGCTACAGTAGGGCAAACTACACACGCATGAGAGAGGTGCTACTACGTGCCCCATGGTCACGGGAGTGGTGGAGGCTGACAGTAGATGATCACTGGCAAGCAGTGAGAGATATCATCCAAAACGCTGTCGTAGACAATGTACCTTAGTCACACCACACACGCGTGACTGGAAGAACCTGGGTTAGGCACGGCACTGAACGCTTGCTACAGGCGAACATGAGAGGCACAAGTGGAAGGTCTCCTTGAAGTATTCGGATCGCAGTTCTTAATGGGCATTGAGAAAAAGATGCAATACCAAAGTTCGAAGCGGCAATCCTCACTACCAATTAATAAACTAAATTCATTTATATATTACTCAGTTCTGAAATTTTATCCATATTATCATTAGAATTTTATACTTATTACCCTTATTACTCTCCACATTGCAACTAACTGATCTCCGGTTTTGTAATGTGACGGCTGCTATTATCCAGAAACCCTACTGCCCTGAAACAAACGTTTCATTCAAACCCCGAGACATACAAACTCACAGCCGATTGCCAACTGACTAGAATTAGACAGTCGAGTGGCTAGACCTCCATCCATTGGACATTACCGTACACCTGGAACCGTACCGAAAGTAAGAGAATCGAGCGCGAAGAAATCAAATTGGTTTACACTAGCTCGTGAAAAAAATATTGGATATCATCCCACTTGTGAGACGCTGTTCATTTACTTTTCGAGCCTGTCCTCTGAAGCCTATGTGAGAACTGAACTAACCTAAGTATTCTATAGGAGGCCCAAGAGTATTTGATATGTTGTAGGTAACGAAGATGTCACTACTAGGTCTCCCGCACACAAAAGTGAACCTTGTATTGCTCGATTCTGAGTTATTTTACTCCTTTAGTGACTGAAGTTAAGGTAAACTTCAGAGCATATTCCTCATACAAAAGTAATGGAGGAAGAATTGGAACTCAATACTCTAAATAAAGGCAAACAAAACTGTCGAGAATGAAGCGAAAAAATCCTACTTTAAACAGAACTAAACAGTTAATGATGCTAGGTTTGCTCTGTTCACATTTTTATCACAACTAGCAAGATGAAGTAAAAAATATAAACATTCCGTTGCCTCCTAAGGATACCTAATTAATTCCAATGATGATCCCAGAGAGGAGCATAAACAGCTTGTTCACCTACACACATGGATTAATATGGATCTTGGAATGTCACATCTAACCCATCGGCTCTATATCAACGAAGTGCGAACTAAACAAACATATAAAGCGTTTGCAGCTGATGAAAGGATGTTGAGAATGTTACTAGTTACTAACCTATTCTTTGTAGTTTCTGCGGTAATAAATTGTCGCAACCAACAAAACAAATTTGAAAACCAAGACGTACGTGATTCATATTGGGGAATAGATTTCTCCGGCACGGATTCAGTATTTTTTTCCGTACCACGAAAACGCCAGCAAATGTGCGTCTTCTTCTAGAATATGTCTTCTCTGTGTTTGGTTTACGACGGGATAAAGATTACAGGCGGGAACGTAATTTATATGTAGTGATGTTCATAGTCAACCTTGACTTGCCCCACTACAACATAAGATGGGTTATTGTACCATCAGCAGTGAGATGCTGAGGAAAATTTGTCGCTCAGTTGGTTGATTAGGGTGACATTGTCTTCTCTGAACTCGTCGTAGTCTGCCTCTCTATTTCAAATGTTTGTATATCATTTTTCTGATTAATTGGTAAACTGAATCGATTCATTGCGTTTGTTGGTTACTGATTAACCTGAGTGTTAGGCTCCTAAGCATTCTCTACTGTTCTTCGTATTCCTTGTATCTGTTATTTCAACATTTATTCATTCAGGTCAGTCAGGTCCAGGTAGGATAGTGTCAGTGTCAGTGCCAACTAATCATGACCTTCATCAACAATACAAGTCAAGTTTCACGTGTGGAGAAATGTCACTGCTTCTCTTCTGATACTGTTTAGAAGAATAATGAAAGCTCCACCACAAATACTTCCAGTTCAGAGAACCTAACTTCACCATCATTGAGAACACTACTTGTTGTCTCCTGAAATAGCCATTGAGGCTTGGTTTCAACACGAATCTTTGAAGGAAAACTCGGAGTTTAGAGGCATATTATAGTAGAGTGGAATGCTAACAAAATTCCTATTTCTTACTAGTACAGTTTTGGAGCCAGCCATCGACATAAGTATGCTAAGTGACATCTGAATATTCCTTCAGGAGTTAAAGTGAGGTTTTCTGAAAGACTCGAAGCAGTGATTCACTATAATTTACCTACAATTGTCTTACTTGTTAAAAGTACAGATATTGCTATCAGAAAGCATTGCTGATCAGTTGCTATTCGATTCGGGATCCCTTATAGCGAATATCTCTTCTGCTTTGTCTATTACGATTCGGTTTTCCTCTTTTCCTTTCATCTAGAGTATTCCTGGTAATTGCTCATCCTGTACTGAAGACTGATAAATTCCGCAACACGTGGTAGATCTTCCGAGCTTTTTTCCATAATCTTCTCTTCAGCCGGAGGTTTCCCGGCACAAAGAGCAGCATTAATGAGAGCCAAGTGACCGAAATATCAGATAAGAACTGAAAATCGGTTTAACGGACTACAATGTAACCACCGATTGACAGACAGCCAACGATAGAAGCTAAATTGAATATTCGCAATCGTTTATAGTGTATACAATCAACACTTAAAATACACAAACGTAAAAGCCTAATAACAAAACACTTGGCACAGCACTTCTCCAACAGTTGACGCACACGGATATTACAAACCATGATTTTTCGGCTAAAACATCACTTCTTAACTCTACCAACCTCAAAGTATGATATTAATGACCGTAGAATCGCTACACTAAAACGGATTTAGATGATAATGCTACATCTACTGCACAATTTTCCGATCTTCATCATTATGATGACAGGTATTTTTAGCGCTATGCCTCCAGTTGATTGTTTTCGAACCAATGTATAAACTACTACATCTCGTAGCACTAAAGGAAGCTTAGCTTCCTGATGAAGGGTTGAAGGTTTATGACGAGGCATAAATGTATGGTTTGTCATCACTTTTAATGCGACTTCATGTTTTCATGAAAACAACTCCACAACGAGAAGCTGTAGCATTTTCTAACTCCCTTAAGTCATTTGCTACTGTTGATATTGAACACTGCTTGATGCTACTAGATGAAAACACAATGGATATGTGACAGACAAAGCTTAGGATTCTGACTCGTACAATCAAGACCGGTAGGTTTGACATTACCACTCCGCTCACCTAACTCGTCATTGCCTTCTTCCGTTACTTACCACTTCACCAGTTAGTTTATAACCCCACGTCGCATTGACCGCTATCTACTAAAGTGTAATCTATGCTTTCGGGCATCTTGTATCAATGGTGTACCCATAAATTGGAAAAATATGCCTACGACCCAGTACCTTTAGTAGACTAGTTTAGTTAGACCATGATGCTTGCAAAAACGTAGGGAGTCCAGAAAGTCTAGAATATAAGGTCATTGTTAGAACAAGGTATTTACTTAACTAGTACAGAAATAAAGAATGGATTTCCGTATCTGACCATTTACTGTCCCTAGTATAAACCTCGTGATACTTTCCTATCGCACCTTACTTCCTGGACTTTCTAGTTTTGACATTACTGATTGTTTCTGTAAAAAATACAAAGTCCTGTGAGAGCTTAAAACTCTTCTCAACCTACCATCTCCTGTTAGATGTACGCTGGAATTAAACTGCATACAAGTTTGTCTGATTTCATGTTGGTTCATCTCCGGGTAATTTTCAGATTTTTAGACCCTCATTTACAATAGAATTAAAACGACCTCAAATAGCATTACTTACAATTTAAGCAAAATCTAGTATACGTGAGATGATAATACTACCAGTTAAACCGTGAAAACTGTATCTAAACAACTGTTTCCGACAGACAGCGAATTTGCCAGCCAGTCTTTTCTCAAGCGCTCCTCACTCATACTATTATGTATCATATACTAAACGGCTATGAATGTAATGGTGACGTTGTAGGATCCGTCTTCTTTTCATCCCAGATCAATTTCTTTCTTCCAAATAAGTTCGTCTGCAAAACAACGTATTTCCGCTTGACACAAACGGCGATTGTTGAAGCAACAGTATGCTGACCTTCTAGTGATAGTCATAACTCCGTATTAGACCAATATTTACCCATTAGAATATCGAATTACCAAGCGGCTGTTCTATAAAATTACCGGATGCTGTGGTAAGCTCATCTACCCGGAATATAGGAATATAAAACCACTTAGTAACTAAAAGTATTTCTTGCTATCCATACATCTTACCACAGGCACACTCTATTTTCGATCAATCATAATGCTCCAAGTATTCATGACAACTCTGTTAAAACCCTTCCGAAAGCAAATCACAAACTGATATTCTAAACAATTTACTAATCACTGATTGAAATTTCGATTAATATTTCTAACCTAATAAACTACTTAGTTTGTACCTAGCTGAGGAGGAAGCAATATGATACAATTAATTAATTATGCTGTCACTCTAATTCGTTTAAAGTTGCCAAAGAAGATAACTGACATGAAATAAAACAATATTCGTCCTGTGATTGATAAATTTGAAATAAGTAACAAAAAAGTGATCATAAGAAAAATTTTAATTCAAAGAAATATAAATGCCTTTAACACAGTTAAAGTTATGTCATCACCAACCAGGGTAATATTATGAAAGTACAAACGAAAGAGGAAAAAAACATAAATATATTTCATAGCAAATCTAAAGAATTATGATAGTTAAAAGATTGAGGTAAACAGGTCAAGGTAAGTAAATGATAGTTCCATATGATAATAAAGTCAACATTGCACAAAATGTTTTGAAACAGTGATTCCAGTTGGATAATTTTCCTTTAAATTTAAACAAACAGTCTAATGGAAAGACGCATTGATGATGGAAGGAATGTATGTTAAGGTTATACGTATATATATATTTATGTATATATTGAACAAGAAGTAACAAAGCATCAAAGTGTGTCATCTAAAAAATTCAGCTTAGAATTTTATAAATATAAATAGTGAAAGAAAACAAAAATTTAAAATAAAATAAGTGTGTTATTTGAAGGAAAAAAATGAAATTCTATATGATTACTGTTTAGGATCTGATTTACCTCGGCCAGATTTTGTCTTACGTCTCCATATAGTAGCGAACGGTCGAACAAAAGAATAATTGCGTGGCAAGCTTGTCCTTAAGGTATCAGTGGTTTCACTGTTTAATTGATATGATTCTTTCAAGTTGAAAGAATATAAAATATGAAAAAAATATCATGTAAAGCAAATATAATTTTTGAAGGTTAATTTTTTATTAGACTGAAATAAGCATAATGTATAATAAAGTATTATACATATAGTAATCTGTAATACAATATACACTGATTGTTCAAAAAATCAATTAATAGACAGTCACGCAAAAAATATTAAGACAACCCCCCTCTCGCCTGAAAATAACTTTGATCAAAAATACCCAAATAAAAACATGATTCTGTGACTCACTTTCTTTATTAGAAGTATAATCGAAATCATTCAATAAACCATTACTTGTAGGTTTAGGAAAACGACTAGATTCTAGTGAAGTTTGTTCAATCATAGATGGCAAACGATCAGAATCACTAGACTTTGTACTACCATTACAATATCGATACTTATCCATTGAACAATGAATTGGATTCGTTGTTTCACCAAAATTACTTTTTGCATATCTATTATGAATATCTGTACGGATAAGCAGACCAGTTAAGGCTTCAATATGACTCCAACGATTTACACGCTCTTGAACTTCACTTTCAAGTTGATCCAAAGCTTGTCTAGAAAAGAAGGTAATGATCAAATACAATATACTTTGCTGTATATAAAAATAAAAAATTACTCTGAAAATCAATACTAATAAAGAATTATCCAGTCAAAAACATAGATGAGATGAACTCAATGAAATTTATTCATATTTCACTAAGATTATTACCTGATAATCGGCTATATATATATAGAGAGATATACAAACATACTCTGGAGATGCATCGAAAACTCAAAGTTCAAAAACTGTTTCTTACACATTCGATTCCATACTTACAAATCCTAAACATTGAAAATTCTTCCAATTCTAGGATAATTATCACCAAGTAAATACACATAAATTTTTGTCGTTAAATTGAATCGATTATGATACATCAAAAGTTAAACATGGAATCTGAATTGCTACAATACTACAATAAGTTTATTAACCTAAGATTGACCTAATAAATTTATTATGATCAGATTACAAACTTTTTAATTCATCGTTTTTCTTTTTTCATTTATCAATTTTAAAATAATTGATCTTCATTTTTTTGACATGATTTTTCACTGACCATTGTCCTGTAAGCTACTGAGAGAGGAAATATGATTATCAATCATACTACTACAAAGTTCATTCAGTCTACAATTCTTACTTTTCCTAACTGCTTTAAAGTGAATAATTGTTATAATTGTTAAATCTAACCTTTTGCTTTGACCTAGGCATATATCAGAGGAGACAGTAACTTACTTTGCATTAATTAAACGATTTTCCAATTCATCTAAATTTATGGTATTTACTAGTCGAACTGAACCAAAAATACTATAACGTTTACGTATAAAACGTTTACACTAGAAAACAAAAACAACAAAAAATCGATAATCAAAGATTGTGTTGTGTTGAAAATGTTATCCAATGACAACTGATTGAAAACAGAGTATCAATGTAAATGACTACACATCAAATAAAATATACAAATACATAATGAAACTTTTTAGCAATAAAAAAGGAACAACTTATACAGTATACCTACAAACTGAACGAACTGATACTTGAATAAGGAATTATAATTCACCAACAAAATGAGAAGATCACTTCTCTTTTAAATGGATCAACTACTAGTAAAATAAACTACATAACTAATTTTATGACAGCACTACTAACAAGTTCATGTATCCGCATTTTTTCTAATCGATATTCATTCATTGTATCACATGAAGAAAAAAAATTTTCACAAATAAAAAAAATAAATTAGAAATACAATAGGATTAAAAAAATACTCTGTAATCTAATATTTACAATAGTTTCTCAAATACTCTGATAAACTGCCTACAATGAAAAAAACATCACGTATTACATGAATTTGCAGACAAACAGATAGCACATCACATAGATTAAATGATTTGATAAACAATTCACTACAAGTTACATATGCGCAAAATCTTATACTTTCAATAAAACATTTCATTTTCATTGATGTAAACAAATGGTACACTATTTGTACGCAACACTGAATAAAACGAAAATATCAATTATTTGTATTAATAAGTATCATTTAAGTGTGTTGTTATACCACAGACTCCATTATATTTTTAGCTGATCGGTTAAACATCGACCGACTGCGTCAGATCATACGGTGGAAACTTGTTGATTTCCTGATTATTAAAATATGATACACAAAGGTATATTACAGACAAAAGCAAATAGATTAAACTGCTGCTATTACTACTGATACTAAGTGTTACCAAAGACTAGCAGTGGGAATAAAAACAATTAAGGACATGTTGGATACTTGAAGATAACTATACAGGCCGAATTTAGGTTTTATACCAGTTACTAAATGCTGAACAACACATATCTACAAATGTGAGGGAGCTAAAGCTTCCATGGAGATTTTAAATAGTATCCATTTACTGTGACAATCAGGAAAGCAATCTATACTATGAATCACTCTACGTAGAAATGTATTCTAACTAGAAAAAGACTATTGTCATGTTAACAAAAACAAAGGCTCCATTCAAAACTTCATATTTATTGATCTTCAACTATGTGAGATCAAGCAAAGTAAAACAAAATTTCTAGCAATCGAACCAATTAGTTATTATTCAAACTGGTTTACGCACTGACTACTAGTTACTGGAGTCTAAACATTATGAATTTATATATGGCTGTATTTTAATGCTAAGTAGTTGATATATAATATACTCAGTAGATATAAGAACATTTAAACAGATTAAAATAATCATGTAAGAAACTTATTAATGTATTCATTACCGATTGTCGAGCAAAATCAAGTTTCTTTTCAGCTTTCATTCTCTTTTCACAGTAACGTCTAAGTTCCAATTCATAAGTGACTTGTAACCAATGTTTAAGTTCATAATTCGATTCATTTGGATGATATTTATTATAAGGATTTATTGAAAAAGTAGTCGGTGAATAAAACTCATTTCCAGGATTTCGTCCTTTTAAATTTAGAATTTTGCGATGATGTAAAGTACGTATTTGATCAAAATTCAATGGATCGTTGGCTGAGTACATACTATTACTATTATGCAAGGAGTTCGAAGGTATAGAATCATTATATAAATCATTTGGCAAATTAAATTCTGCAACTGAAGATGGTGTATATGATGAATGATCATATGATTGTTTATGCATAGAAACACTATCTTCATCAAACATCTCCGTACTCTTTAAATGAAGCGATGAAAAATTATCTTGTTTCATCATACTCTATCAAATAATCGAATGTAAACGAGAAAAAAATAATATCAAATCATACAATTTCAGAAATTTTATGAAATAGTTAGCAATATGTTGTAAGACTAAAGATACTGCCAACCACTTCTAACTTTGAATATTCAAACGCAAAATAAGAACTAAGTAGAAGTGACCAGAAATACACAAAAAACAGTAATCCTGTAAAAAGAAAGGCTAGGAAATACATTTACTTTAACTGCTACTTTAAAGATCTTTGAAGCTCTAGATTATTCATTCACTGATGATCATGACAAGTACATAACAAGAAGTTATCGAATGATATATTCGATCACCACCTTTACTACTATGGGTATTGAATTGACAATTACGTCTGTGTGCTATTGTGGTATGGCAACTTGGACTGATGTACGTGCGTAGAAAGTTCTGACTGATTAAGAAGTTATCACAAAATAGACAAATTCATTTTCTTTCAAAATGTGTTGATGAATCAAGTATGCACAAGAAATTTTCAATGGAATCTAAGAATGTTTAGATATTCATATGACATAAATTAATATCAAACCATATTAATGTAGTAACAATACGAAACGATGCATTAAAACATGAATATAAAATGATGTGAAGATTAACAGGCATATTTATACTAAGTCAGTGCGTCAGTCAGCTACAACGCAGAACTTCGTACGTACACAAAACAGTTCGAGTTGCCATATCGCATTAGCATAGGGAGATGAAACTGTCAGGTCAAATGCTATAGTAGGAGATGTTGTAGCAGTATTAGCGGTAATCAAAAAGTTTAAGGATTGAATATATGATTCGAGAAGCATTGTGCAGTGAAATAAACGTAAAAGAGAAAAAGAAAGTTCATGAGAAGTTCAGAGAAGAGAAGACAAAGGATGAATTTACATATGTAATTACAAACGATTCTAAGCCATGTCACTCAAAGACTCTAAACACCGGTTACGACTTATTGCGGACCACAAACAGAGAATTCAGATATAGTAACATGGCCCAATTCAGCTGTCAATTACTTCACAGATTTGTGTAGCGCTTCAGTTTGGGTGCCACCAGCTTAATTTCACCGCAGTACTACACCAAAAAATCGCTCGATGAGGTAGTTAGTCGGTGTGTAACGAAAACAAGTGTTCCAATCACCTAGACTAACGAAGTTACAATACTGTGTCTATTGACCGGCCATTGTTACCCAGTAACATGTCCTAACAACAACACTGCTTAAGCGATGGTCTAAAGATATACAAGCAACGACTCGAAGATACCAATGATTGAATACTCGGAACCTAAGAAACGCCTAAACCCTTAATGATCATAGTTCACAGACATAAAGTGGAACAAAGAGAACTACTGAGCAGTAAACTCGACCTTTGCTTAGCAAGTGGAAATCTCACCTACGCTATAAGTGACTCAAGGTGACAAAACCCAATGGAGACTTCTGTATCAGCGCCGAGAACTTGTCAGAAACACTTCCGTCAGCAATGATAGACCACTGAGCATAAGTGAAGCAGCCAACACACTCAACTACTTCACTTCCTATCACTAGTTCAGGTACCGATACAACCCAATCCTGAAGCAACATTTCGCATTTCGAGTAGGAAAACCGCATCCCGAACATGTTTGTATTGTTGCTTAGAGTAGTCATAAGTCTCTGCATTTTCTCAGTGTCTTCACCGAACAGAAATTTCATCTGCATATTCCAAGTCAACAAATGAATCACCCCGTAAAATGACAACTCCTAAAAAGTCACACGAAGATAGTGACGCATCTAAAATTATATCTGTGACAAAGTTAAGTCAGAATGGCGCATGTTGATAGCCCTAACAAGCACCACTGGAAGTAATCAGTTCCGATGACAATTAGCCACAAACTCTCACTCGACCAGTGGTGTTCGTTTAGATAGCTTGTACAAGGTAATGTACTTCTTTGGTACGTCTTCAATAACAGGCACTGCCACAGTACCTCACGATCAACAGAGTCAATTGCCTCCCCAAAGCCAACGAATGTGTGTCTATTTTCTAGGACGTGAAGAAGTATGAACATTCGATCTATACATCCACATTTATACATCCATCCAGTCTGGCTTTCTCGAATTCGCTCTAGTTAGCAGTCGAAGTATTATTGAAGCCAAGATCTTAGACACTATATTAGTTCAACTAACTCCTCTGCGATTGCAGCAAGAGGACTTTTGTGCTTCCTGATAGTGATTAAGACCAGTCAGATGGGACTACATCCAGTTCTCAAATTCTGACTATTATCTTAGTCAATCTCACTGCTAAAACGGGATCATCATCCTTGAAAGCGTCAGGGGTTAATCTATCCGGATCCACTGCTCTCTCCCTCTAGCCTTAGATTACCTTCAGCCCTCTCAATCTCATTTACAGTTGCAGGTGTGACATCAACATGCCATTCAGGTTGATTGGAGATGCTGGATAAATGAGGTGTGGCTGAAGGCCAGTTGAATTGTTCCCTAAAGTGTTCTGCACATCGATTCGATTTCCTCGATTGTAAATGAATAATTGTACCGTATATTTCCAAGAGAGTCTCGCTAACAGTCGAGTGCTCAACAACAGTTTCCTTGCTGAATCTGAACAGTTGTGTACAGTGAACTTTCACCCCCTCCTTTTCCAACTCGTTTGCTTTACTTGCCTATATTAGAGCTTGATTTGATTGTCAACCTGTCGCTCCACAATTGGCGGTAGTCATCCATCGAGTCTCTCAAACGGTGACTGATAGCAATATAGTTTCATTTCAGTCCATCGTCACGTTGATTGTGAGGGTCATCATGTCAGAAGGCGGTTTTCTTATGTTGAAAGTCGTCGTTCACTAGAAACAGATTGTCATCCGAGTATGGTTACAGCAAATGATCTGAATACTACATCTACTCGCGCGAGGCCATGGAGAGTAGTAGTGGGTTCTGCAGATATGTTAGAAGTGTGTCACGACGGTCTTTTATATTGACAATCGCTACTTGGATCCTGTATGCACGTTTCGGAAAGAAAGACACAGCTCTGGATGCTGATTATCCGAGGGAAACACCGTACTCCTGTCACGCCCCTCTATAGTCAGCAGTACGACTTCACTCTCAGACCTTAAGTAGCTGCTTTTAGCCTTAACACTCTCCAATCGACCTGCCTGGCATGACAGGACCTAGAAGAACGGGTGTTTCAGCCAATATATATATATATATATATATATATATATATATATATATATTAGTTCGATAAAGGTTACTTTTCGTGAAGTTTTAAAGATCTCAACGCGTCCCATTAAATGAGAACACGAACAGGACCATAGGTTTCTTTTACTTTTCGTAAGCCAGTTAAATCTTTTACGTTCTAGCTAATGAAATGAATTAGCTACGTACAATAGAAGAGAGCAAATTATTAAAAACAAAAAGCAAGGAGTTATGTATGGCAGAATACAGATCTCCGATGGTGTGAGGCTGTATGATGGGAATACTTAATAGCTGAAAGGTATATTTTCATCCAATATCAGAACGATTAGTAAAAGATGTTCAGAGACCGGTTAAGATAGAACTACCTAAACTTTGATAAGTATTTCAGTGTTTCAAGTCCCACTAAATCTACTGGAGCTACGGTAAACTTTCAGAGTGTTCTTTGTCTTTCAACCATCGGAGATCAGACTACAAAATCATTGAGGAAAATGCAAATGTATTGGTGGTTTTTTGTATTATTGCGTTGAATGTTTGAACAGAGTCACAGTAATATCATGCATAAAACTTAATGCTAAGAGCTACATTTAACATAAACGTTTTTTTACAATTCAATGAACACAGAAATTTGAATTTCACTTACCTTTGAACCCAGAGATAGAGGTGTTGATGATGAAGCATTCAATGTCTGCCGTAATTGCTCTACATCATCTAACCTATTTAATTTTATTAAAACAAATACACAACAATCACTTGTCAAAAGAAACTTTTTGAATCATTAGAGATTATTAGGATTTTTAGATGAAGTTGTGTTCTAATGGTTTTAACAATTATATAAAAGATAAGTATACAGCAACTTCCAGAGGATTCTAATTTTAAAGAAATTCACATGAATTCTATCTTTCTATAATCTTATCACGAGCAATATAGATGAGGATGAATTTATCCAACGAAAAAACTGAATCATCAAGTGAGAATTCGCTTTCGACACCTGATATTCACGTATCGCATACAACTTTGTGTTGTTTTTTTTGAGAACTAAGGAAACCCTAAGGATGTGGTAACAAATATTGTGATTATTGAATCTCAGTGGAAAAACTTTAAAGAAACCTTTGGAAGAACTCTAGGTAATTAACTCGTTCTCGTCAAACCTATAGGTCATTTAGTAACGTATTAATAATAATAGAGTTTAGTTTAGAGGAAACAGTATGTCAAGGTTGACAAACCTGAACTTTAAAACATGTGAAACGTCATTTAAGCTAGCAATAGCAATCAACAGTAAAAAAGTTTTTCTATGATCACGCAGAAGAAATGAAACTTCATAATTAAGATCACAATTATTTGAGAGCTACATAGATTACTTACTAAGTGGAGGGTTTAAGACCTATAATATCTAAAGAACCTTTAGTAGCCGGGTGACATACTACTGTTAGACTTGATAACTGCTCGAGCAAATAATGAATGACATGAAAAAAACAACTGTGATTTAAATTAAATATTCACATCCATTCCTACAACAAATGGAATAATTTTCATACCTTTACCCTTAAGTATTCTCTAAAATTGATATTGTTTATATTAGTTTGCTGATAAACTTTTCATATAATTTAATATTATGAATAGAATATTCTTATAAAGTTTGTTTAAATTTAGTGATTATAAACATATCTTACTAAAAGTAGAAACTTCGATTCATCAACTGATGATATATTTGAGCCGAAATAATCATGTGTAGCTGTATATATTGACCAGATATATACATATCGATCACACTTAAAACCAATCGTGATATTTTTAGCAATTATGGTTATACTCTCAAAAGTTATCATTAAGGATAAAGAAAAAATAACAATCGTTTTAATGTCGGTCACAAATAATGGCAATCATCTACTACATTAAGTATAACAAACTTATAGTGTAGATGTGCCGTAAAAATCAAATAAAAAGGTGTCATAGTAAGAAGTTTACTCTTGATAACAAAAGTATGCATATTAAAATAATGTAACTAGCATTACTGTGAACATATATATAAATATATATATATTTGTTTGAAACCATGAACCGATCAATGTTAGACCACCATTAGAAACCTGTGCTCACTAGTGACTAGCTTCGTGAGGAATCTTCTCCGAGTTCTAGTGGGAAGACGTGACCAGTGAAGTTCAATCTGTTCGGGAGTAGACAGTAACGACCGAAGACTGTGTATGAGGTTGTGCAACTCCGTGAATTGATCAAGTTAGACATTAACACTGTTAGATACCGGTTCAGTGGTCCGATGGTTAGAGGTTCGTCTACAATACCGAAGGTCCTGGGTTCGAACCCCGCGGGGTGCAGGAGTCGTGGATGCGCACTGCCGAGGAATTCCATACCAAAACGAACCGGCCGTCCAGTGCTTTCAGGTTTCTAATGGTGGTCTAACATTGATCGATTCATGGTTTCAAAAAAAAATTACAATCTTCACAACCCCATAATGCATATATATATATATATATATATATATATATATATATATATATATATATATAAATGAATGTCCTGAACGTAATATTAATAGATAAACTTTACGCTTTGAGCAGTGAATCGAATTGAGTAACAATATAATCACCATGAACAATTAATATCAATATTGTGTATGAGATTATTTCATTCAATTTTGCACTGAATCACAGTATTAAATTAATGGTAAAACGAAAGTAACATACTCTTATAGGCTTACGGAAACTAGTTTCGCCAATAATGATGAAGACTACATTTCAGCGAAAACAACCATTCCATATTATCATCATTATTAAATTTATTATAATTATTCACATAGGTAACTAACCTTTTTTGAAGTTGTTTTAATGTCTGTTCAGCAATATTTAATTTTTCTTGATTTTCACCGACAGAATTTCTCTCTGAATAACTTGATGTATGGTAGAATCGATGAGAGAAGCTCATAATTGAAAGGCATAACAATCCTAATGATAAAGTGACTAGAGAAACATTTCCTGATACAAGTACTGGCTCTGTAAGTGAAATAATTAAAATCATATATATTGAATTAGTAACTTAATTACATTAATTAAACAGCTGGTAAGAAAAATGCGAAGTTCTAATAGGTTCATAATCTGAAAAAATATATTGAAATTAAGGTGAAAACATTGTTCGTGATGAAAAGGGATCTGATATTGAGTGCATTAGAAGAAAGTCTAAGGTGAACAATTTAATATCACATACGCTAATGTTTTTATAATATGAAGTGCTTGAAGATGTCCACACAGTAAAATTATTTCACTTAATTCATAACAGAACACTGGTTATCATTAGCAGACTAGTTCATGTGGAAGGTGACGGCGTCCCCTAAACGATAAGTGGAACTCAAAAAGTACATTCACAAGTATTTCAATACAAACCTACTAATCAAGTGAATAACTAGTACTGGACATATAGTACGGTAAATTTTCATTTCTTTAGGTTATAAAATCCGTAATAATTTAACCAGTAGATAAGTCTCAATAATAATAATAATAATAATAATAATAATAATAATAATAATAATAATAATAATGACAATTTTCAGGCAGAGCTTTGGAGGTTTGTGTTTTTATACATTTGAAATCATCAATCAATCATTTTTAGACCACCATTAGAAACCTGGAAGCACTGGATGGCCGTTTCGTCCTGGTATGGGACTCATCAGCAATGCGCATCCACGAAAATATCGTAACAGTGCTCAATAGTGACCAGCTTAGTGAGGAAATTCTCGGAGTTCTAGTTGAGAAGACGTGACCAATGGAGTTCAACCCTGTCGGGTGTAGGCAATAACTACCAAAGACAAATGGGTGAGGTCGCGCAAAATCCCTAGATCAATCAGAGTTAGACATTAACACCGTTGGATGCCGGTCCAGTGGTCCGATGGTTAGGCGTTCGTCTACAATACCGTAGGTTCCGGGTTCGAATCCTGAGAGGTGCAGGAGTCGTGGATGCGCACTGCTGATGAGCCCCGTACCAGGACGAAACGGCCGTCCAGTGCTTCCAGGTTTTTAATGATGGTCTAACAATGATTGATTGATGAATTCAAATGTGTAATAATAATAATAATAATAATAATAATAATAATAATAAGGAAGAGAAATAAAGGATCTAAACAACCAAAAGCTGTTACAAATATGAATGGCTTTATTGTAATTAAGCAGTTCAACATTAGGCAAATCTTTTTTAAGGTAAATATAAAGAAAGGTTGCCTCATTAAAATAAATTGCGAAACGTTAATAACGTAAGGAATTTCTCACTGAAAATAATTTATTTGAGTATCGGATTGTGGAAATTATCAAATTTTATGAAGATAATAAGACGATTTAGGTTGGACAAATATTAAGAACCCGAAAGCACTGGACAATTTTTCAGCTCGAGTACAAGGTTACTTAGCAGTGATCATCCACGACGCCGCAGACTGGAATCGAACCCACGACTTTAGATCCTCTGCCCTTCTATGTCAACAATCTTCATAAACCCATATCGATAACCAATATGTAGTCACTATGGACAAGCTTCAAAAGGAAACTTCAGGAGTCCCGGTGAAAAGCCATGACCAGTAGAGTTCAACCGTTTCGAGTGTGAGAAAATGTAATTTACATAATTAATATTGGTAACTGTGACTAGCTAAAGTATAAAATTTTCACCAATTAGTTTAATGCAATATAAAGCATAAAAAGAAGAAGAAATATGAATTGTACAGAATGGGGAAACTGTCAATATATAGGTCAGACGGTTAAAAATGAATGACAACTTATAAGTACATTATTAATGACAGAGAAATTACAATTCCCAAATTAATAACTAATTGACAAATTTCCTAAATCAATTACTTGATTTAAATCAATAAACAAGTGATCAAGGGAAACACAATAAATTTGTATCCATTGCTAAATTAACAACTGTATGTGTATGTGAACATAGGATTACAAAAGGAACTTGTCAATTCTTGATCACTTCGGAGAAAAGTTCATTTGAGATAATAAGAAAAGTTCATTAGTTGGATAGTTCAATCTTAAAGCACCCATCCTCTGAATAATTCTCATGACGACATAACGATCTATAATGCTGAGATGTAAGAGCATGAGTTTGTTTCAGCGTTATCGTACACAACACCGTTTCAAGAATGTTAGTAAGTTTCTATCCAAAGTTCGTTGTTTTCTGAGAAAGTGAGAAATCTGACCGTTCAGATTTTTCCACTAGACTGTACAAAATAGTTTGCACATAGTTATATGAATATCAACTTATGAAAACTCATAAGAGAGCCGTTTGTAACCAGCCTCAACCAGCTGTCACTTGAGCTCTGCAGTCAGCGAGAATAAAATGAACCCAGATTCATTTTCAGACCCATAAAAAAAAATATTCTTCCATGATGTAATCGACTGGGAAGTGACAACCGAACTCATACCTCTAACAACACCTGAGACCAAATTGGTCACAATAAAATCCTTCCTACAACTCTCAACAACGTTACAATCTCCACAGCCAACCCTTCTCGTATACGTTTATCACCTCACGCCGCTAATGACAGTGATTTGAGCACACGAAATGTTACTCCTGGTGTCTTGAAACCCCAATCTAAACTATATGTTGGAGCATTTTATTTTCGGACCTTGTGCCCAATAGGACAACAGGCTTCCTTAGCTAGTACTTTAGAATATCGCGCCATTGATGCTTACTGTTTCCAAAACGTGCATACAGGATCCCAGTAACGATTGTCAATATAAAAGACCGTCGCGACACACTTCTCACATATCTGCAGACCCCACTACTACTCTCCATGGCCTCGCGCGAGTAGATCATCTGCTGCAACCATACTCGGATGACAATCTGTTTCTAGTGAGCGACGACTTTCAACATAAGAAAACCGCCTTCTGACATGATGACCCTCACAATCAACCTGACGATGGACTGAAATGAAACAATATTGCTATCAGTCACCGTTTGAGAGACTCGATGGATGACTACCGCCAATTGTGGAGCGACAGGTTGACGATCAAATCAAGCTCTAATATAGGCAAGTAAAGCAAACGAGTTGGAAAAGGAGGGGGTGAAAGTTCACTGTACACAACTGTTCAGATTCAGCAAGGAAACTGTTGTTGAGGACTCGACTGTTAGCGAGACTCTCTTGGAAATATACGGGACAATTATTCATTATCAATCGAGGAGATTGAATCGATGTGCAGAACACTTTAGGGAACAATTCAACTGGCCTTCAGCCACACCTCATTTATCCAGCATCTCCAATCAACCTGATTGGCAAGTTGATGTCACACCTCCAACTGTAAATGAGATTGAGAGGGCTGAAGGTAATCTAAGGCGAGAGGAAGAGAGCAGTGGATCCGGATAGATTAACCCCTGACGCTTTCAAGGATGATGATCCCGTTTTAGCAGTGAGATTGACTAAGATATTAGTCAGAATTTGAGAACTGGATGCAGTCCCATCTGACTGGTCTTAATCACTATCAGGAAGCACAAAAGTCCTCTTGCTGCAATCACAGGGGAGTTAGTTGAACTAATAAAGTATCTAAGATCTTGGCTTCAATAATACTTCGACTCCTAACTAGAGCGAATTCGAGAAAGCCAGACTGGATGGATGTATAAATGTGGATGTATAGATCGAATGTTCATACTTCTTCACGTCCTAGAAAATAGACACACATTCGTTGGCTTTGGGGAGGCAATTGACTCTGTTGATCGTGAGGTACTGTGGCAGTGCCTGTTATTGAAGACGTACCAAAGAAGTACATTACCTTGTACAAGCTATCTAAACGAACACCACTGGTCGAGTGAGAGTTTGTGGCTAATTGTCATCGGAACTGATTACTTCCAGTGGTGCTTGTTAGGGCTATCAACATGCGCCATTCTGATTTAACTTTGTCACAGATATAATTTTAGATGCGTCACTATCTGCGTGTGACTGTTTAGGAGTTGTCATTCTACGGGGTGATTCATTTGTTGACTTGGAATATGCAGATGAAATTTCTGTTCGGTGAAGACACTGAGAAAATGCAGAGACTTATGACTACTCTAAGCAACAATACAAACATGTTCGGGATGCGGTTTTCCTACTCGAAATGCGAAATGTTGCTTCAGGATTGGGTTGTATCGGTACCTGAACTAGTGATAGGAAGTGAAGTAGTTGAGCGTGTTGGATGCTTCACTTATGCTCAGTGGTCTATCATTGCTGACGGAAATGTGTCTGACAAGTTCTCGGCGCTGATACAAAAGTCTCCATTGGCTTTTGTCACCTTGAGTCACTTATAGCGTAGGTGAGATTTCCACTTGCTAAGCAAACAACGATTCTTCTGCACAGTAGTCGTTATTTGAAAAGTGAGTCAGGTCTTAATGAGGAGTGGTGGCTTAGTAGTCAAGGCTTCCGATGACTTTCAGTTACTAGTTCCTAAGTTTGAATCCCTCTACTTAATCCAGTTTGAGTAACTAGGTAGTATTCTTGATTCCTAAATTCAGCATTTGGTCATACATAAGTAACTGGTAAGTCAATTATTTAGTTTTCAACATTATAATGACGGGTTCAACTTCAAAGGAGTGGTATCGTGCAAAGGTAATACAAACGATTTCTAAAGAGTCAGACGAAAAATCATATAAAGTATTTAGGTTAACGATAAAAATAACTAACGTCTTGGAGGCCCAAACAGGATGACATCCAAAGCACGGAGCATCAATTTCTTCTTGTGTATCGGATTTTGAATGCCCAGGACATCTGTTAAGTAGCTCATATTTTGCAAAGCCAAGCTACAAAAACGATAAAGAAAAATATGCTGATGTATGCTCTGTCAGCTTAAATACTATTCGGTTTTACAAAAGCTGCTACATACAACTACTATGGAGAAAAATGGCAAAAGAATTGCCTCCCATAGAATAAGCAGTCACGTGTTCCTAATAGTAAAATCGAATTCCGGTTGATTGTGGACGAAAGTCTGAAGAATAAGCATATGTAACTCAGATTCATAATCAAACAACTTACAGTTGAACTAAAGTTTAATCGTATTTTCAGCGCTTTATTAAAAACTGCCTTCAAAAGTAAGGACCAAAATTAAGATATAAATTAATTGAGGCAATAAGACATTTAAACTCCGTCTGTAGACCCTTCGGGGCTACTGCCAGTCCCAAGCCCGGGTAAAGGAGCAGGGTTGGGCATGGACTTGGCGACCCCATCCCACCAAAAAACTCACTAAAAAAACGCTAACCAGAACTAATAATCCAAACCATTTTAACTCTGTCCTGGAAGTTGGAAGAACAATTATGACGTCGTGTGATGAAAGCCAAGTTCCCTCGGAAGTCGCGGGGCCGATGTTCCTTCTGACAACCAGAGCAACCATTCTTTTAGGTACATGGAATGTCGGAACATTTTGGGATACCCGAAACTATTCCAAGTTGCTACAGAAATGAAAAGATACAACCTGGAAGTGCTTGGAATCAGTGAAACGCATTGGATGCAGGTTGGACAACTGAGACTAGCTTCAGGAGACTTGCTGTTACACTCCGGCCATGAAGAGGAAAATGCTTCACATACACAAGGAGTTGCACTGATGCTGTCCAAACGAGCACAAAAACAACTGATGGGATGGGAATCTCATGGACACATGATCATTAAAGCATCCTTCAAAACAAAGAAAAACGGTATTACAATGAACGTCACCCAACGCTATGCACCAACCAATGACTACAATGACGATGTTAAAGATCAATTCTACGAAAGGCTGCAGTCAGTCGTCGGCAGATACTCACCAAAGGATTTGACGATTCTGATGGGAGACCTAAATGCCAATGTTGGCATGGACAACACTGGATATGAAGACATCATGGGACGACATGGACTGGGAGAAAGGAACGAAAATGGTCAGAGATTTGCAAACCTATGTGCCTTCAACAAACTGGTCATCGGTGGCACAATATTCCCGCACAAACGCATACACAAAGCTACATGGATTTCACCGGATCACACTACTCAAAACCAGATTGATCATATCTGTATCAACAAAACGTCCAGAAGGACTATGGAGGATGTGAGAACCAGGAGAGGAGCTGATGTAACCTCCGATCACCACTTGCTGATCGCCAAAATGAAACTGAAACTCAAGAAACACTGGACAACGGGACGGACAACATCACAGAAGTTTAATACGGCCTTTCTTTGGGATACTGTAAAGCTCAACGAATTCAAAATAGCCATCATCAATAGGTTCCAGGCCTTTCAGGATCTACTCAATGGAGAGGACACAACATTGGAGAACAATCGGAAAGGGATCAAGGAGGCAATCACTTCAACATGTCACGAAGTTCTGGGTCACAAGAAGTACCATCACAAGGAATGGATCTCTGTTGATACTCTTGCAAAAATTGAAGAAAGGAGGAACAAGAAGGCAGCAATCAATGTCAGCCGAACAAGAGCAGAGAAAGTTACCGCACAGACTGCATACACAGAAGTAAACAGGGAAGTGAAGAAGAGCATCAGAGCTGACAAACGAAAATATGTGGATGATCTAGCAATGACGGCGGAAAAGGCTGAAAGAGAAGGAAACATGAGACAATTGTACGAAACAACAAAGAAGCTCGCTGGAAACTATCGTAAACAGAACGACCAGTGAAAAGCAAGGAAGGGAAAATAATCAGCAACACTGAAGAACAGCGAAATTGGTGGGTAGAGCACTTTAAGGAACTTCTGAATTGACCAGCTCTACTGAATACACCCAACAACTGAGCAGCATCCATCGACCTCCAAATCGATTGAAGAGATCAGTATGGCCATCAGACAAATCAAGAGCGGCTAAGCAGCAGAACCAGACAACATTCCAGCAGAGGCAATGAAAGCAGGCGTGGAAGCAACTGCAAAAATGTTTCACATTCTCTTCAATAAGATTTGGGATGAGGAACAAGTACCATCAGGCTGGAAAGAAGGATACTTCATCAAAATACCAAAGAAAGGCGATCTCAGCAAGTGTGAGAACTACAGAGGCATCACTCTTCTGGTAGAAGTATTAGCGATAATGGGGAAGATTAGGGTTGGAAGATATTATTCAACAAGTATAATCCAGTGAAATAATTTTAAAAAGGAAAGATAGAGGTGATGAGGATTTCATTGCAAACGATTTTGAGCCATGCAATTTAACGTCTGTAACCATCGGTTAGTAACGTCTCGCGGACCCCAACCTAGTAGTCTACATCTACCAACATCGCTCAGTTCACTTGTCAGAGGCTTTGTGTCATGTTTTGATCTGGCTACCCCTAGCTTTCTTCCAGCCTACTCCTACACCACAAAACATCGCTCGTCGAGGCAGTCGGTGGTTGGGCATTCGTGACACATGTCCCAACCACCTTAACTGACGGAGTTACACTACTTCGTCCATTAACCAGCCATCCTTACATAGTTCCCGCTTCCTAATAATAACATTGCTTACTCGATGGTCTCAGGGTATACGAGCAATGCTTCGAAGATACCAATGATCGAATACTCATAACCTACGAATCTGCTAAACTCTTAGCAAACCTGTTTCACAGTTATAAATTGGGACGGAGCGAACTGTTTTGCAGTGAGCCCGTGTTTTAATTTGTAGACGGAGATCTCACCTACGCCATGAATGTCGCAAGTCGGCAAAGGCCAATCGAGCCGCGAGACGAAAGTCACCAATGGTTAGAGACCTTGAATGACATGGCTCAAAATCGTTTGCATTGGCGCACGTGCATCAACTCCTTGTAATCTCTTCTGCATTTGGCAACACCTCCACCTTTGTCTTTCTTAACTTGTCACACTGAATTATACTTCTTGAATGTTATCTTCAAATCCTAATCTTTTCCATTATCAGTAATTATTCTACTATCTTTACCACTATGGGATTTAAATTGACAATTACGTCTCCTTGCTAATGTGGTATGGCAACATGAACTTATGTACTTACGTACGAAGTTCTACGTTGTAACTGACTGACTGACTGACCTTTCCCGAGACAGTTTCGCCAACAGTCAGATTCCCAGTACCAGTTTACTTGATAACTCTGAACAGTTGTCTACTGTTACCTGTCACCACTGCCTTTTCCATAGCTCTTGCTTTCGCCACCCTCAACTACTCACAATCATTGTGTAGGCTTTTTATCAGACTGCGTTTAAGCTGCCTTCGCTCATCATGTTCAGAGCCAGGCGAGATGACTTTACGAGCGTCTATCAGTTCGCTGGATGATACTGAGACTCGCTTCTCCTTAAACATATGATTTACCTTACTAGCAGATATCAATGCTGCATCCACGGCATTTTGGATGCCGTACCAAGATATCTCGGGATGGGCATCACTTACATCGCCACCTAACTGTTTTTCTAGTTGCCCCTGAACCTTATTCTTAGCTGTGCTATCATTAAGTAGATACCTAAGAGGTGTCCTTGCGGTGTCTTTCCTACGTACAGTAAGTCGCAAACTAATACGCGCTCGCACTAGAGCATGATCTGAATCTAGACAAGTGCCCCAGAACGAGCAACAGTCCTCTTTTGAATGCCTCCATCGGTGGCGGATTGCGATGTGGTCTAGTTGGGTCCAGCGTTGAGACGACTTGGGGGTCGCCAGGTCAAAAGGTGTTTTACCTTATGCTTAAAGTTAGTATTTTCTAGGGATACGTGGTTATCTGAGCATATTTGCAGCAGACGGTCGCCATTATCTGTTCTGGTAGCCGCGACACCAAAATATCCACCCAGGTGTATTCCCTTTTCGCTGAGTCTATCTACTTGAGCATTAAATTCATCAGCCGTTATTACTACATCAGAGCACCTAATCTTTTGGAGGAGTGCTAAAAGTTTTCTGTAAAACTCATCTTTCACCTTGTCTGAACTGTAGTCAGTGGGAGCGTAGGCAAATACGACGAAGAGGCAACTGCGTTTGTCCCTATCTTCGCGAGTTAATACTGTTCAGTTTAGTCAGACAGCGCACAAGCGATTATCTACAGGAACCCAAACTAAGAGAGCTACTCCTACCCTAAGACTCAGTTCTATACTTACAAGCGTGAGGTCACGGGAAGCAGCAGCAGGATTTCTAGATACACGAAGTGTAAATAGAGTTGGTTCCTTATTTAGACAAGGTGAAGTCACTTAAATGATTGTGCTCAGATCCTGTAGGCGCGTATCAGAGACGCAGCATACAAGGATGGCGCGAAATTCCAAGGTATTAAAAGTAATAATACTATGAACTAAAACTACAATCATCAAGTAAGTACAAGTCTAATGACAATAACGTTTTCTAAATAATTTTTAATAAACTGCATATTACTGAGTATAAACTATTGGTTAAATACAGTATATTTATTTGTATGAAGATTCCTATCAATATGGCAACATACGAAATCTTAAAAAATATTTAAAAAGTAAACTTTTAGTCTGCTAGCTTGTGAAATGTGTGTAGCGAGTAAGATATTCAAATCCACACAAAACTGTGTATATACTAGATTTCCAGTTACCTGAAAGTCAAGAAAGATGTTTTCCTATAGTAAACAGTACCCGAAAGAAATTGTAGATGTCTTATACAATGCTCGTAGTGTAACAGTGTTAGTGGGACATTGACGGAATTAAAGCATGACTACGTTGCTGCGCGCTGATTGGCTAATTTCCTAATCCAATCAGCGCCTGATCGTTTCTTGGAGAACAGGGTAGAAAATTCTCGTGCTGTTAGCTGCACTCTGATTGGCTGAATCTAATCCAGTCGATCACGTGAATTACTATCCAGAAGCTTCTCATGTAAATGCTATAAAGAAACTAACGTTGTATTTATTTTTGCCTTCACCTTCGGCTTCTTATTTCCATTTAACCTTGCTATTTGGAATATAATCTTTTCCTGTTCCACCGTGTTTTTGATTCTTTGGAACTTGTCCAGTGTATTGTGGTCAGAGAATACTAAGCAATAGGATTTAGCTGGGAATTATCTAAACAAGCGTTACAACAAACAGCTAATAAATTTTAGAAACTTCAGCACAAAACACTAATTTTTACCAAATGGTCTTCTGAAATAAATAAACATGGGAGCAACTTTGCCTACGTACCATAAACTTGGTAGATAATGCGTACTTTTAAATAAGGTGAACTTAAATTAATTTTTGCCGCAATTAATACACAACAATAGTTAGGAGAAACCTTCAATAACACTAACAGTATAGACGTGTTGTTAAGTCAGATCCTTGAGGATTATGAAGATCAATGTGTTTTAAAGACGTTTTGAAATTTCGATAGAGTATAAAATGTTACTTCCATCCGCAAAACCTGTGTTAAGAAGAGACTTTTAATCCATCACAACATTTATCTGAAGAACGAAACGAAGAAAACAGTTCACATTTATAGGCATTCATAATAAAAAAAGCCATATTGTTTTTTAATATAAATATAATAATAACGCAAAACACGATAGATTTTAAGAGGGCATTACGTATAGGACTATAAAGACATTATACACATGATTCCTGCATATAAATGTCCTAATAAGATTTTATTCAAACTGCACTTCGTAAAAAACAGTCAATATTGAAAATTTACCGTGGTAATGAACGTCCATCCAAATTATGTTGACGAAACAAGTCAGCATACTGAGGAAGATCTACAAGGTTTACTAACCATTGAATAGTATCTTTCACAGTCCAGTTAAATGCTAGGTGTACACAAACATAAAAACAAAGAATATTAAATGTACGTTAAGAAGAATACTGCAATAAACATAGTACATATCCTCAGGCTATTACTTGTTAGTGAAGAAAAAGAATACGGATACCTAACTTTAATTGCTAACTATTTTTCCTCATAGAAAGGTGCAGAAACGCCAGATATTCGTAATTAGGCAATAAAAATATTTCATGTGAATTTAACTTAACAGGGATTTTTTGCTCAACCCACTATCTTCAATAATAATGGTAAGCTGAGTGATAAAAATGGTAGACTAAACTAGTTTTGCAAATAGCTTCCAAATCATCTTTGGACATTGAGTGGGCCACATTAACAACATCCATTAAGTGATTTAAATTATTATAAGAAATGCAACAAATTAATACAACTGGAAAAATTTGAAATTTCCTTTGATAACTTCATTGTTTCACTATACTTAATAGATTAAGTTTTGAAATCCCCAGTATTTTTAGTTTATTATTCGTAACAATGAGACCCAGCATAGTCTTTCATTGAGCTATCTTGAATTTAAAGATAAACGTCAGTCAGTCATTTTATAAGTAATTGTAGTTATGCCATAACTAACCAATCAGATTGTGGTTCAAGCGCTCACCACGCTATCTAGTCTGACCGGTCTGTAAACTTCAGTCAGTCAGTCAGTTGCAACGTAGAACTTCGTACGTATGTTCATGTTGCCATACCACATTAGCACAGAGATGCAAATGTCAAATCGAATCCCATAGTGATAAAGATAGTAGAGGTATTAATGGTGATGAAGAAGACTAGGGTTTGAAGATAACATTCAAGAAGTATCATTCAGTGAGATAAGGTTAGAAAGACAAAGGTGGAGGTGCTGACAAATCCAGAAGATAAGGATTTGAGAGAGCACAACGAATGGATGCATTTGCGCCATTGCAAACGATTTTGAGACATGTCGTTCAAGGTCTCTAACCATTGGTGACTTTCGTCTCGTGGACCCCAACCAGGTAGTCTACATCTACCAACATGACTCAGTCCACTTGTCAGTGACTTCATGGATTTCTGCCATGTTTTGGTCTGGCCGCCCCTAACTTTCTTCCAACCTACTCCTATACCACAAAACATAGCTCGTCAAGGCAGTCGGTGGTTAGGCATTCGTAACACATGTCCCAACCACCTCAACTGGTGAAGTTTCAATACTTCATCTATTGATCTGCCATCCTTACCTAGTACTCGTTCCCTAACGACAGCATTGCTTACTCAGTTGTCCCACGATATACGAGCAATGCTTCTTAAACATCTATGATTGAATACTAGTAACCTACGAACATATTCTACTCTTAACAGCCAAGTCTCGGATCCGTACAGTGGTACGGAGCGAACTACTGCGCAGTACACCCGTCCTTTGGTCAGCGAACGGATATCTCGACTACGCCATAAGTGACGCAGGTTGGCTAAAAGCCAATCGAGCTTTCTGTATCTGTGCTGAGATTTCGTCAGTCACCAGGCCATCAGCGCTGATGAGACTCCCCAGATAAGTGAAGCGATCAACACGCTCGACTACTTCACTCCCTATCACTAGTTCAGGTGACGATGCAACCCAGTCTTGAAGCAACATTTTGCATTTCGAGGGAGAAAACCGCATCCCAAACATGCTCGGATTGTTGGTTTTGGTAGTCAGAAGACTGCATTTTGTCAGCGTCTTCACCGAATAGAACTATGTCATCGGCATATTCTAGATCAGTAAGCGACTTTCCTGGTAGAAAGTCGACTCCTGGAAAGTCGGACGAGGATAATGTTAGATCTAGCAACATGTCTATGACAAAATTAAACAAGAATGGAGAAAGTGGACATCCCTGACGGACATCACTTGAAGTAAAGAATTCCAGTGACAGTTCGCCATATGCTCTCACCCGACCAGTAGTGTTAGAGTAGAATGCTTGTATAAGGTTAATGTACCACAGAACCTCACGATCCACAGAGTCAAATGACGCTTTTAGGTCCAGGAACACAACTATTGTCGGACGTCTAAATGTGTGTCTGTGTTCCAGGACCTATCCATAGTACGAAGATCTGGTGTATACAACCACGTCCAGGTCGAAAACCAGCCTGGTTTTCTCTAATCTGCTCTTCACGAGCTCTAGTTAGACGTTTAAATATAATCGAGGCTAACAATTTAGAAACTATATTAGTTAGACTGATTCCCCTGTGATTGTCACAAGACGACTTTTTTCCTTTCTTAAAAATTGGGACAATCAAGGATTGAGATCAGTCGGATGGGATTACGTCCAGTTCCCAGATTCTACCTAAGATCTCAGTCAACCTAGCTGCTAAAACTGGACCACCATCCTTAAATATCTCAGGGGTCAGTCTATCAGGACCTGCTGCTCTACTTCGGTTTAGATTTCCTATAGCTTTCTCAACTTCATGTAGACGGAGGACTTAAATCGATCTGCCATTCAGGATGACTGGGGATCGTGGGCAACCGAAGTGTGGCTCGAGGCCAGTTGAACTGATCCCTAAATGTTCTGCCCATCGGTCCAGTCTCCTGGATTGAGAATAGATGATAAGACCATCCTTTTCCGAGATAGTCTCACTCACATTCGGGTTCCTAATACCGGTTTCCTTTATAAGGCGGAAAAGTTGTCTAGTGTTGCCTATCGCCGCTGCCTTTTCCATTGCTTTTGCATTCGCCACCCACCACTGTTCGCGGTCGTTACGTAGGCTTTTTATCAGTCTGTGCCTAAGCTGACTTCGCTCTTCATCATGTTCAGAGTCAGGTGGGATGCGTTTTCGAGCATCCATCAGTTCGGTGGATGCGACTGAAATCCACTGCTTCATCCTAGCCTTGTGGTTTACCTTGCTAGCAGACACCATTGCTGTTTCCACAGCCTTCTTGATATGATTCCAACCTGCTTCAGGATGGGAATCACTCTCATGGCCGCCTAACTGTTTTTCTAGTTCCTCCTGAAATATTTTCTTAGCTTGATTATCATCAAGTAAAGCCCTAAGAGGCTTCCTTACGGTGTCTTTCCTACGTCCAGTAAGCCTCAAACAAATACGAGCTCGCATTAGAGCATGATCTGAATCTAAACATGTGCCCCAGAACGAGTGGCAGTCCTCTATCGAACCCCTCCATCGGTGGCTGATAGCGATATGATCTAGTTGCGTCCAACGTTGAGACGACTTCGGGGGTCGCCAAGTGAATGATGCTACTCGGATCCTGTATGCGCGTTTCCGAGACGCAGCACACATCGATGGCACGAGATTCTAAAGTCCTGGCCAATGATGCCTGTTGCCCTATTTGACACATTAAATGCTCCAACATGTAGTTTAAAGCGGGGTTTAAGGAGACCAGGAACGACGTTTCGCGAACTCGCATCGTTTGCATTGGCTGTGCACTGTGATAAATCAGTGTGAGAAGAGTTAGTCGTGGAGATAAGAGAGGTATTAGGGGGTGTAGGAAGGATTTGATTTTGACCAATTTGGTCTCGTGTGCTGTTGCGGGTATGAGGGAGGTTGTCACTTCCCGGATGCCCACACCATGGAAGGTTGTTTCTTGAGGGACCTGAAAAGGAAGGTAGATTAGTGTTGGTCTTAGAGACCTAAGAGCGTAACCGCAGAGCCCAGGGGACAACTGCTTGAGGCCGGTCACGCACGGCCTGTTTATGAAGGGTTTTTCGAGTATTAGCTCCGCTCTTGAAAGCCCTTAGTGGGCACCCTTACCCAAGGAGACGGAAATCCATGAGGTAGGGTGAGGTGTGACATTTTTAGGGTCGACCTTTTCTAACCCTTCCTTCCTTGTTAGAAGGCAGCATCGCTGCAGATGCTGGTTGTCTGAGGGAAACACCTTACTGCTGTCACACCCCTCTGCAGTCAGCAGTGCGACTTCACCCTCAGACCTTGAGTAGCTGCTTTTGGTCTAATCGTTCTCCAATCGACCTGCCTGGTATGGTAGAACCTTCAGGAACATAAGTTCCAATCAATATAGCTCGGTTGGGTCATCACGATAGGCAAGCCCGACCACCACGTCAAGGTAGCAGCTTCGGTCGGGGGTCTGTAAGCTTTCTTTGTTGTAAATGACCTATTGATTGAAGGACGTTATTATTTTATTATATTGATGTGACTCATGCTTTTATTCATTTTCTAAAGACACGCTATACTGGTCGGTACGTTTGCTCGTCTTACTTGATAATTGTAATTTCCTTATTTATTGTACTAATTTAATCGTTTTTTTTGTTTAGAGACAGATAAAGTTTAAAACCAAGTTGACTTTACTTTTACTACAGCTTTACCACAGACTCTGTGCTCGCCAGTATTGCGTTTACTGTTCTAGAATTACATCTGTAGGACAACTAAATCCTACAACGTCAAGTACATTAGACTCTATAGTGGTAGACCAAAATTATCAAACAGAACTAATCTGGAAGTATTAGACAATTATTTTGTACCAATTCAGCGTATCATTTTGACTCTAAGTGACAAGAAATTTATTAAACAGGTAATATAACTTCAAAAAGAAGAGGAGTTAATGTGATAATACAGCAACTAAGCACGACAATCTAGTGAATATTTAATGCATAGTAAGATTATTGTAAGTGGAGTTGTATCATTTACAAAAACTCTACCATTAAAAATTAAGAATTGATCAAATTACCAGGATTATTTCTCCACATTTGCCACAAATCCGTAAGGCTAATGAGAGGATCATCGCTGTTTAGTATACGTGATTTTTTAGCAGCTTCTCCCGAATTGAATTCTTTCCTCAAAAACTAGAATCAACAGTAGTATGAATTTATTGCATTTTAAAAGGTGTATATAAAGTTTTAGAATGTAAAAAACTAGATAAATTAAAAAAAAACATTTCGAAACTTAGTGAAAGGATTATAGAACATTTAGTCTATAGGAAAAGATAATAGGCGAAGGATTACCCTTGGTCATAGATATCACGCCTAGTAATAACATGCAATGATTAACATTTAATGAAACCTATCCATATGCACCTTACAGAATTCGTGATAAATGTTAATCTACACCCCGGGTATAGTAGTGAAATAAATGATCCAGAGAACTATATTCATGCAGGATTACAAATGGATTGACATATTGTGCTTTAAATCGGCCAGCATAATCTCCGTATCTAAATAATGCCGACTGGTGGAAACCAATGTATTTTCCCAACAAGTAAACTGAAAAAATATACCAAGTAACTTGCTTTTCGGGATATAAATGCAATGGCTTGGAAACCCACAGTTTTCAACAACATAGAGAAAATCAAAGACCGAAACATATTAGAATGAACAAGAAATAGCTGAATACAAAGCACGCTTCACAATATCTGCATACATTTCCGTTAGTGTAATCGAAACCAACCCAAGTTACTTCTATACCTAGACTTTAAATGCTGTGGTACGGCTGAGGATGGAGACAGTACACTCTCGCAAAATGATCTTATAAGGCCACAAGTACATAGCCGCTGCCAGCGAAGTTCCATTAACTGCCCTCTCGTGGAGATTGTTGTCTATGAGGACGAAAAGGATTTCCGGAGCTTAAACCTCATTGGTATGGAGGATCTACCTAAGGGAGTCTAAAAACTTAATACCATAGGCTCCGAAACTTTGAGAGAACATGGTGTATGAACGTACTCTCCGTTATCAGCTATTATAGAACGGAGTCTAGCACTGCTCCACTGCCTTATGGATTAAACATCTGGGTCAAAGGCTCTGGCAGTGGTCTCCTAATTAAACCATTAGCTTCAGTTTTTGCACCTGGACATTATCCCGATCCATTTGCAAATTTAATCATTTGTGTGGTGTACATATATTTTTGTATCATTTTGTACCAATTTTTGTGTTTAAACAAAATAAAATAGAAAATAAATGCAAGTCCCTGATTATCCATTTCCAATAGTTTTGCCGGCCTTGAGGAGTAAAACCGCATCCACTCAGATCTTCTTGATAGAAAACCAAATTATTCTTAATTTGTTATTTCTAATACAGTAGGGCACTAAAAATAAACCACAAAAATGTAACTCATCAAATGTAAGCTCATATGATAGAGATGTGCTGTCAGATTTTTCAGGCTTAAGTCAGTCAGTCAGTCAGATGCAACGTAGAACTTCGTACGTAAGTACATCAGTTCTTAAGTAATTGAATTCATTATCACCTAATAGTTTAAAACTGAAAGCTATAACCGTCAAAGCATCTCTATACAGTTAGTAACTTCAGTTTAGTTGAATAATACGGTAGAACCAGAAAATATTATGGAATCGACGAGTTACAGTGTATCAAATACACAAGGTTTCTAAAGGAATCTACGTGAACATCATTATGTACATATTTATTCCTAGCAAGTAATCATATTTGATAACTGATAACAATGACTGAAGCCAACACAGACGACACGTGTAGTCGGATTTATAAACAATTAGTTGTTTATCAGGATATCTATCACAAAGCTAAAGAGCCTTTTGAAACAATTCACCAAAATAACCAGACGAGAAGCAGAACGAAACAGTTAGTAGGTAATCGATAATAAGACTCTGATCTATGAAAGTAACTGAGTTCATATTTGAATCACAAAACTAAATGTCAGTCTGCTTTTAATATCCGTGGAATGTTGCAAAGTAGCATTTGGACAAGTTAGCTGATATGAATGTAGTGATCAGTCAGTTATAAGCGACCTAGAAGCTACCGAAAATGTCTATCGACCACCATATCAATACATTATAAAATTATCAAGAATAATGCTGTAGTTACAACAGCAACAATTGTGATAAAAAAAGACTAAGCACGGAATAATTCAGGAACGAATTCGATAAGTAAAAATTTTGAAATGGTTTCTAGACTCAGTACAGGAAAAGACAAAGACTGGATGTATTTTTGCTACGGTGATCGATTGGGAGCCACGTCACCTAACGTCTCCAACCACTACTTAAGGTCATCGCACATACTCTGACCAACTGAAATATCTGAGACCGACAGTTGGTGACTTCATGAACTGATATTGTTTTAATTTTTTACAGATCTAGCTTTGTTCCACCCTGTTCCTCAGCCAGCCGACATCGGACGTCAAGAAAGAAGTTTCTAACGGACTTACCTTGAGTTTAAGCCGCATTGTAGGTGTGGGCGATAATAATACCCAGTGGCCTGAACAAAATAGTTAGATGGATTTGAAACCGGTACAGTGGCAGAAAGTCGGACGCCCTAACTGCTAAGCCACCACTACCCACTAACCATAACTACCCAGTTTGATTTGGGTAGGATCACTATACTACACAAGTCGTAATTCAAAGACGCGTATTTAAACTTTTATCTAAACTGTAATTTATATACTGGAAAATCTATAAACAGTACTTTCAAATACATGTCACATTCAGATGCAAATGGAGTAGATTATTAATACATGTGTTTACAAATTAGGAATAGGCCAGGTGGTTAATAACTGTCTTTAAAAAGCATATTCCAGCTAAGTGCAGTACTGGAGATAAGGATTAGTGTACTGAATTTACATTGACTTATGTTGGAGCATCATACAGAAGAATCCAAAACATAATTACTATAGTCCTGAATACTTTGACTGGGATTTATTGATGAGAACGAAACTTCTCACAAGAAACAAAAATTGAATGATCAGTACTGAATATTCCACAGAAGTCTGTAAACTCACAACTGTCTTGCATACCTGTGAAGTCATTTACAAAGGTTTTGGTGTTAAATTTATTTATCTTAGCTTTTCTGCGGCTTACTTCAGAAATCTAAACAAACTAGAGGCAAAGTGGAAAGCAAATGAGAAAACGTTTGGTTTCACTAACGCTTGCAACTACCAACTCAGAGATAACCTGTAAGTTTACTTAAGTGAAGGCCGGTAAGCTATTATTTACTACAAAGCTTTTGTTGCGCTTGTATATAAAGTAGGGACATTTCAAGTTACCTTACCTTTTCAGTTTCAGAATAGTCAACCTCTCCGTTTTTGTCACCGTCAAGATTTCGATGTAAGTCTTCAATTGCCTCATAAGACAATATTTTTGTGAAGCAGGATAAGATTTCGTCAGTTGCACCACATATTTCACTACACTTAACGAGAGAAAATGCTTTTAAAAATAATTATTAGCTTGAGCTTACAAGTCCAGGTGTAGTAAAGAATAACAAAAATATAATAACAAGTCATTACTCAAGTAGAGACACCTTTCTGTTCCCACTGATATTGTAACGAATACAATCCAAGTTTTATTGATCTGATCAGATGGAAAGATAATTTCATGAATGAAACCAAGGGCGATAACTAAGAAGTTATGTAAGACCCAAGACAAAACTGTAACGGCAACATTTAAATGTCGAACGAATGGTAAGTTCTTGAAATTGAATATTTATGGTGCAATCAGATAAGCGTTTTTTGACTCATGCTCTCAGCCGTTAGCATTAAGAGTACATGGCTTGTACTTGTGACTTATTCATCTAAATCCGATTTAGACTTCTCCACTTCGTGAACTGGAATCGTCGGATTCAACTTGAATTATTGCAGGCTATTCTTAAATATAAATACGGACAACTTCTTGTAATAATGCGGTAGAAACTTCAAAGAACTCTGTATCGGTTTAGATGCACAATTCTATCTTCTAATTTCTTAATCAGAATGGGATTTTCCATGCTATGAGTTTGTAGATAATTATTAATGCATATTTCGGCAACATCATTCGCCCTCATTTAGAACATGGAAATATTTTCCTCCCTCGCCACAAAGAGTAAGCAGGGACATAAGTATAAGTACTGTAATTTAAGCACCATTTAGAGAGTCACAAGTCACCCATTAGATTAAAGGCGTCTCAGAGGTGACCTAATTACTCATAGCATTTAGCGCATCCATGGGCGTCATCAAAAGTACTTTACCAAGTTCAGTTCCTCCACTAACCCTAGGTTCAGTATCTGAAAAATATAGGCATAAAATAAGAGAATGAACGATTGTTACCTCCTCTACTCTTTACGAGTAGGAAAATTCCGGAATTCGCCGTGGGCTGGAAATGGTCTAGTCAAATTGCCAGGAGTCCTTGAAGAGCAAATCTGATAAATACTCGTGTGCCAATGTTTTTCTGGTGTACGTTACACATGCTTTGGTTCCCACATGGGGGCATGGGTAGTCCACTGCACTTGTATTCAGACGCCTGTCAAGCGGAAGCTTCCATTCGATATGAACAGAAGATAATAGTGCTTATACCTACGTCATTACTCAACAGATACATTTTTGAATAAAACAAAGGTATGATTACTCAGACCTTTATTGTCTGTATTAGATCACAAACTACACAATTGCATTATTGTAGAATAGTTCAGACAGTTCACAACTAAGATAACGAATGGGCAAACGACCGTACGAATAGAGGAGATTCAAAAGAACCAAATTGTTGGAAATCATAGAGATCTACAGAATATATTAAAGAAGCCAAGGTAATACTTTACTTACTATTTTTTATCAATGTTGATAAATAAGTCACTCGTGAACTTCTCTTGAACCTAATCGTTTTGGTCATAAAGGAGAATCATTCAACGCTGCAAAGCATAACTCCTAATATCTTCGTTATAGATATTTTACAGGGTTAAATATTATTTTTTCAACAAACTGTATTTAAATTACTAAATAACGTTTCCGCACTTATAAAGACACTTTTTGGAACCGGTATTTGTCTTGTATTCATTATCAGTTTATCCACTGAATGTAATTTAGATTTATATATTCAAGCTTGTTGAACAAATATATATTAAAAAACTTGGCAATAATGTTTATTTAAACAGTCGTGAAAATTCTAATTTACAAATTTATAGAGAACCATTCCTCAACCAACCAATCCGTTGAGGATTTTATCTGGGCAAGAGCACAAGTGTCTGGAATAGGTAATTGCTAGCTCTATTTCACCTTAGTTTGGAGTTAGTATTTTCTCCGTATTTTCGAGAACGAAAGAACTTGCTACTGATATGATAATCATAATCTTTTGGTTTTATCCCAGTAAGTAAAAATTTGTATTTCTGACGCTTTGTAACTTGATGCAAGCAAGTGAATGAAGTGATACAAGTTTAAATAGCAAAAATGAAACAAAGTGTAGTATTTCTAGTAAAACCGAAATCACAATAGGTCTGAGCTTGTCATGGTGATTCTCTATGAGATTTCAGAGTGTTATTTGTGTGCATTAAGAAGGGTAGGAAATCTGATGTCATTTGTGACGTGAAGTAGTGACGACAAAAAAAGTAAAAAGGAATTTTCAGTGCGTGGGCAGAGGTCAGATATTGTTGTTTGGATAAGAAGTCCAGGTTAGATGAGAAGTCGGGTCTTCTTCTCCGATTAAAGGCAAGGGACTTGGCATTAATCATATCAAAACGACGTAGAGATTCTCTGAAGATAGTTAACTACATGATAAGAATTCGAATGGAAATTTAAGTGTAACCATATAGTAAAAGCCAACGCATTCAAATGGGTACAAAAGTTTTTCC